CCTTTCTCCCTCTTAGAGGACCCTAATAGCAGGCCCACCTGCATAACCCAGGACAACCTACGTATCTCAAGATCCTTAACTTCATCACATCTGCACAGTCCCTTTTACCGTGTAAGGTAACACATTCACAGATTTACAACATAGGGATTAGCATGTGGACATCTTTGTGTGGGGGCAAGATTCTGCCCACCACCTGGTCCTACCTCACAGCTGGCATAGAGCATTTCCTGAGCTTTCTAGACAGTATGGTAGGTGTGGCATGACCATGACAGGGGCTTCTTTCTGGTGTCTGTGCCCTGTGGCCTCTGGTCTAACCACAGAGCCCACAAAGATGGGAGCGATCCTGTTAATGCTACTGGGTATGACTGAAAAGGTTCTTTCCAACGTGCTCATCAGAAACCACAGCATCGTTTGCTGAATGTTGTGGTTCTACGATTTTTGCCTCACTAATCTGACCACAGGCCTCTGGAGTCCCAAGGAGATAAAAAAAGAAAAAAACTCTAAGGTCGAATGTTGTCGCTTTGAGAGCCTTTATTCTGAGCCCCCACTGCTCTTAATTATCTTTGAAAATCAGCCTCTGCGGAGAACAGAAGCATCCCTGTGGGTGGGTGGGGATGGCTGATTGAGGGACGTCCTATAGGGTTCTGAGCAGAGGCACGCAGATTTGCGTGGCAGTGCAAGGAAATGAAGCACTTGGAGAGCTCTCATCCTCTCCACAGCCTTATTTTGCTGCAACTTACAGGTAGTCACAACATAAGCCCTTATGGTCGGTCCCCCGTCAAACCACAGGATGTGGCATTGGTCCTCTTGGGAGCAAGCTAACAACACTCAGGACCTATGGCAGAATGGTCTGTGTTGCTGGACTGGCTGAAGCTGTGGGCTGGCTTGGCATGGACACGCTGGCAGACAAATGCTGATGCCACTTCAAAGAACCTCCCCTCCAGGTGCCGAGGGCAGCTTTTCTGATGCTCATGCTGTGTCATTGTTTATTTTCGCAAGGCGCCCAGCTGTTGTGGTGGTGATATTTATACCAATAAGTGCTTTATTCATCTGCTGATTTCAGGGGATGCTTGCCAGCCGCATATGGCAGCCAACCTCGGGGCACT